TTTATAGAATCACAGAATGGTTTGGGTTGGAAGGGACCTCAAAGATCATCTAGTTCCACACACCCCCTGTTTGTGGGTTATAGGCCTGTGCCCAGGTAAAGGTGTGAATTTGTATTGCAGCTGCTCCCAACACCTCTCTGTCCATTCCCCTCTTTCTGTGCCCTCACATCTGTGTGTTCGTTTATCCATCTGTTAATCTGACCGCAGATGGTCTCAGCCTGCCCCTTATTGAAGAACTCCAGCCAAAAGGTTTGCCAAAAAAAGAGAAAAACAACCAAACAATAAAACAAGGCATTGTTTATTGGTTAGCTTTTTCAGGTAGGTATCAGGTTCTGTTTTCTTAGGAGGTAATCTATAAAGATACATTTGTAAAATGTGGAAAATAGGGTTTTAAAAACACTGTTTCATTGGATTTTTTGGCAAACGGTGTACCAGAACAACAATAGTTAAGTGTCTTTGAGAATTATGTTAAAAATTAATGTCATTAAAAATTAGTGATGTCTTCTATTTATTGACCTTCAAAGTCTTGCATTTGCATCTGAAATCTGTTATAAACCCACAAGATGAGCAAGCATACCATAAACAGAGTTACTAGTTTCTCAGGTTAGCTGCTTTAGAAAATATGTTTTCATGGGAAAGGAGAGCACTCTCTCTTTTATTTTTTCTTTCCTCTCCCTTTTTTTGATCACCTTCATATGAACATTGTGTTTACTTTCTGTGATGTAGAAAGACAGAGTTCACTGAAGTGGAAACTTCATCTATATTGAAGAAAAACAGTAAAACCAATATATTTGAAGTAAAGTTGAAAGTATATTTATAGTAAAAGCATATTTAAAGTCCAAAAAATGATGTATTCTGTGTGTACTTTGTGTGAATACATACTAGTTAAGCAATTTCTAAGAAAAGCTGTTACCAAAAACTTTTCAGATCACCTTCAACAGATGGGAATTGCATCTGAATCACAAGATAAAGTTTCAGTTCCTGATTCTGGACCAGAAATGGCTGAACCTCAGGTGGCTGTGGTTCCTGTGGTAACATCAAAATTGTCTGTTAAAGCACCTGAGTTTTATCCACCAGGATACAACCAGAACTTCGATCAGAACTTTGCAGTGAGTGTTTTATCTTCTCTTCTTAGTATATGCCAATTTACTTGAATTCAAATTAACAATGCTTTCTTGAGATCTTGTATTTCAAATAACTTGAATGCTGCATTTGCTGAAAAGATTCCAAAAATTCTGATGATGACTTCCAGAGTCACAATCAGAATGTTAAGTGATAACAGATGAATGTTATAGTGTACGTGAGAGCCTTTAACGTGGGATGGTTTGCTAAAGCTTGCTGCAGATAACCACATTCCCTGTTGATTACACCAAGCATTGATTACATCCAACGTCAAAATAAGCTGTCTTTTCGGCCACTGCCCCTGTTGTATTGAGATGTACACTGCATTTTAAGTAAAGGCCTAGCTGCACTCTTAGGCAGATTTCACAGGTTTGTGAAGCAAGTGTGGGAGAAAGCTTCAAATTTAGCTTTTCTGAGCACAGGCTTTACTCTTCCTAAATTTACTGTGCTGTGGGTATGACTGGCCATGACTGCCTAACTCACTGTACCATCACGTGTCTCTTAATTCTCAGTGGTATTGTATTATCAAAGGGCAAAAGAGTAGGGTCAGGCTCATCGGTAGCAGTTACTACCAGGATACTTAATAAGAAATATAATTTAAGCCAGACTAAGGGTGATCTCAGATTAATACTGTAGATACATCGTGTAATAGAAGTTGATAGTTCTTAATTTCTACTCTCTTATCTTCCATGTGACTGCTTCAGTAATTCTATTCCAGTAATTCTACTCTATTTGTGTGAATTCCTGGAATATCCTTTTGTTACACAAGTAGCCAAACTCTGGTACAGTATATAAACAGGTGGGATCTATTACTTTTACAAATACAATCAAGTGAGAAAAAGCAATTATACTGAAACAAATAGATTTTTTTAATAACTTTTACAGAAAAATACTTGATTTGAATGCTAAACATGGTGCTTTGGTGTTTTGAAGTCTTTTCCTCACCAGTAAAATTGATGTTACCATAATGTTACCAGCTTTGCCAGCTTACTGAATAGAATTACTGTCCTGGATAATAAAAGCCTATAGCCAATACACAACTGTTAACAAAATGCCAACACAAGCATGCTTCAGTGAATGGATAATCTAGGGGAAAAATAACTACTTTGCCCCGGTACGTGTTACATGTCTTATTTATATAAGGATTTCAGTTTCAAGACCAAAAAAACCCACCATTTAGAATGGCATACTTAGAATTACGAAGTTTTAAGGGCAGCAATGTTGCTTTTCAGCTGTTTTGCAAAAACACACAAGCATGTGGGAGTTCCTGGTTGCTATGTTGTAAGAATATGCTACGAATGTGACTCATATACTAATAAAAATACCTCTTAAAATGCTAGCAAAACCTAGAACATTTATTTGGAAGTATGTTGTAGGGACCTTAATCTAATCAGAATATACTGGGCATAGAATAGTGGTGTTCAGACTCTCATCCTTTGCTGTTACAAAGTTTGGGGCTAGGTTTATTTAAATAAAGTGTTGATTTCTTGTTTGGTGGTACATTATTGTAATTACTATGTGCATCCATGTAATAGTTGATTGTTAGATTAGTTAACTTCCAGTTAGTTCTGATACTCAAAACTATCAGTTACCCGTGAAGATTGTTTAAGTGGTACAGCATCTAAGGAGTAATAGAATTTTCAGAAAAACTTTAGCAGGACTTTGGGGAAGACCGGTCTCCGTGAAATTCTCTGTTTGCTGTCCATCCCATTTTAAGTTCTGGAGGTCTGCAGTAGAATTGGTGACTAGATTTAGGTTTGGATTGCCAGTAGGAAATGTTAGACTTGTTCTCTGGCATGGTTGTATGATAATAATGTGGCTGTCACTCCACCAGAAGGGTATAATGGTGTTCTCATTTCATAGTTGTATGAGTGAGATTTGTAGTATTTTATGTGGAATACTTCCCCTGCTTTTTTTTTTTAATTAATTTCCAAAAGGAGGCTAATCTGCCTCAGTGTTGGTTTTAGATGTTTAGTCAAACATGAGGGTGCCACTTAACCTCATGCAGCAAAGACAGGTGATTTTGAATATGCAACAGTCTTTGTACTTAAGTTTGCAATAATTTTATTGTAAACTTGTTGAGTGTATATAATCTGAAGGGGGAAAAAAGCTTGTTCCTAAGAACTCTGAAGAGAAATCAAATCATTGATAAATTATCAGTGAATTAAGTTCCTAAGTGGAAATGCTGTGAATACTTACCAGGTGTAAGAAAGTGGTAGTTAGCACATGTACAGAAACAGAGCCCAAGAGCAGATTTGGTTCATGAAACTTTTCTATAGGCTTTCTGGGTTTTATCCCTATATAAATCAGAGGAGTTTGAGTACCTATTTAGCCTTTTCATTGTTATTTCTTTAAACTCATGAACTGATTCTTAGTGGAACAGACGTAAATCTATAATTTTTAAATTGGTGACTCTTTTGTTGTGAATAATCCAGGATCCCATGCTATAGCTATCAAACATCAAGGAGATGGATTAGACAGTGTTGACTTGACTGAGAAATAATTGAAATTAATGGAAAATTTCTAGTTGACTTTCATATCTTTGAATCATAAATTTGTAATGAATGTGTAAACTTACAGCCTCCTTTTAGCCAGCTGCTGTTGAAAAATAATCAAGAAGGATTTGCTTCGTTTTCCTTTAGTTGGTACGGTACATAGTGCTGTCTTCTCTTTCAGATCTTAAAACCTGCCAATGAGAAATGCAAATGGTTTATATCTAGAAGTTATTGGACTAAATTTAATTATTTTTTTAAAGTATCAGGTGTTACTAATTTAGCAATATACACCTTCATTGAAATGTTTGAATTATTAATTTTTCTCTCCTATTTATTCTGTTCCCTGGCATAATTACTAAAACCTAGGCTGCATTTGGAGTTGCGTATTTAATACAGGTAGATGCATGTGGTACAGAATTTAGCTTCTGTGTTTAGCCTCTTAATTACAAAATGGGAAGAGAAGTGTGAATAGAGGGACACCAATATACCAAATGGTACTGAGGTCCCTTCCAAAACAAGGACATTCTCCTCCAAGATTGAATTCTTACCAGGTGAGTATGAGAGGAAGATACCTTCCTCTCTGTTGAGTTAGGATTTCATAATAACCTGATGGCTGTCAGAAAGAGCAGCTTCTTTTACTAGCTACAGCAATTGCATTCCCTGCAACCTGGCTGGAGAGTTTTCACACAGGTTGTTTGTGACATGCTAGTTCAGTTGTTTGTGATTAAGCTGCAGTTGTTAATGTCATAGTTCTGTGAAACAAAATAGTTCAAGTTTATTCTATAGAACTATCACAGTGCTATTTTAAATAGTCTAGTAAAAGTTGGTTTTCTTTAGAGAAATAGAGTATTTAGCAAGTTACACATAGGCCTATTAGCCTTTATAAGCTCCAAATTATTAGAATCATAGAATATTTCAGGTTGAAAAGGACCTCTGAAGTTCCTCTGCTCCAATCTCCAACTCAAAGCAAAACCGACTTCAAACAGGTTGTTGAAGGTTTTATCCTTATTATTGGTAACAATTTGCCACCATTTCCATAAACTCATATTTTTTTCCTATTTCTCATGGGCAACTTTAAGTAACTTTGTCTTTAGTGTTATAGGGCAAATACTCTACTTAATTAAACATCATAGGAAATCTTTCTAGTTTTTCTTCTGGTGTATTGATGTGTCCCCCATTAGCTTAAGTTGTATACCCTCATGACGTGAGTCTTTGAAGAATTTTAGACCTTGCTTTTTTCCCCACACATTCTTCACAGGTCATAAAATTAATGTCAGTACTTGGTTTTCAGCAATGTGTATCTGTCTTTCTCCACAGTTCATATCCAGGGCTTCTATCTTTCACAGATCCATGTTTCTTCACAGTAGAGGAGAAACTGAGGCATTTTGAAGACAAAGTAAATGACATCTTCTCATTAAGGGAGGGGTGGTGAGGAGAAAGAGAACATTATAATAATCCTTATCAATGTATTTATGTCCACTAAGTAAAGAAAAAGTGTTTTATCATTTTTAGCTCAATTTTTCATTACAGTATATATATTTTAAACCTTTTTCTTGTTAAATAGTAGATCAGTTGAGAGTTCTGATATTCTGTATGTTACCCTATGTCTTGAATTGCTAATTATAGCAATCCCTCTTAAAGGTTCCTGCTTGCACTTCTGAAATCTATGAGATGCTTTTCACAATCTTTTGTGTAGCGTGACAAAGTGAATTATTTGTACTGCGTTATTTTTTACTGGTGACATGATAAAGTATGCTGCTATTCCCCTCATAATAGCATTATAATCATCCAGAACAGTATTGACTTTAGATACTGTTACATACATTCATTTCTGAATGGACAAAATTAGCAGCCTTCTATTCCATCAGCAGGAGCATAAACATCGATAAAGTGTTATTATGCTAGCTCATAATTTCTTTAAGGAGCAGGTGTATTTACCGTCTGTTTTTTAACCTCAGTAGCTGCAAATTAATGCAATACCGTTTTAATAGTTTCATTTCATGCCTTGTGATCTTTCATTCATTGCCAAGTGATGCAAATTTGCTGACTTTAAAAGATTAATTTTCCTGGCTATACTTTCTACATGGGAACACTACACTGTATTTATTGCATTTCTGTAATTTCTCCCCCTTCTGCATATTTTGGAGCATTATACACTCTTTGTAACATCAAAATACTTTGTTTCAGATTTTTCCTTCTACAGTTCACACATCCGCAGCACAGTTTGTGTGCACATCAGGAATGGGTGTTGAGCCTCAGTTTGGTAGTTTTATTCTTAACAGATATTTATTAGTTTGTTAGTTAAGCTAGCACCCAACTTGGCAAACTCTTTGATTTCTTTTTAATCTGTCTTTTGACGTATTTTGCTGGGAGACCCTAATCTCTATAAAAACATGTTTCCTAGTTCTTAGAATGATTAGGATGACTGGAGCTTTGTGATGCATTGATGTCTATGCTCTCTAAAAATATTGAAGTGAGCTGTGTAATAAAGATCACAAGTACACAGAGACTCAAGACTAAGGGCTATATGGTTACTTCTGGAGATAGTAAGTGTAACATCATTATTTTAGGTTCCTTTTAAATAGTTGGTATATTCTTTCACTGCTATAGGATTCTTCCTTTGAAGATAGAGACGATGGCTATCTGACTTTGGCAGAATACATACAAGACTTCCTAAATCACCTCACCGAGCAACCAGGTTGTTTTGAAACTGAAATAGAGCAGTTTGCCGAAACGCTTAATGTCTGGGTCACTGCAGACGAAGCTTTACAAGAACTCGTTGAACTCATCTATCAGCAGGTAGCTTGTATATTCTGTCTTATAACATGGGTATTGTGCCTCTGTTACCTAGTGTCCAATGTGTGCATACTTTTTTTATTTGTTATGTAATGGTATCTATGTAGTATTTTAATGGTTTGAATTTTTCTTTTTAGACTGAAACATAGGGAAAATTTTTAGTCAATAAACTGAAATGGTAGCTCAGGTGTGGGATACCTGGATGGTTGATAAATTTCCCTAATTTACTGTGTTTCCTTTCATGTTTATTTGGATCTCCTGGGTCACATGTTAGAGTTGAAATTACAGCACTTAAGGAGTTGTATTTGAATTGCTGTATTTATATAGTAGAGATTGAAGAAACTCTTAAGCAATGTCAGAGTTGTACGTTTTTATTCTATCCTGCAAAAAAATTTCTTCATAATACTTAGATACTTTTAATTCCTTGGTACTTTAAAAAAATCAAATTTATACCTATTGTACACAACACCTTTCGGGAAATGCTCTTTTATTGACGGGCTTTCTTCTTCATTCAGAATATACCTATTTCGGAACAGTATAATTGGAGGAAGAGAAAGCTTATCTAATGGTAACTAGGTCCAGTCCCATTGATGGCCATGGAAATGAGGACAGAGCCCTTGAGCTGAACTCTGTACTAATTGGGGGAGCCACTGGAAAGAACAGCTTAATATGTTTTGCTTAGCAAATGAGCTGCTGTTACTGTCTTCTGGGCTTGCTGCAGAGAATGAAGTCACATTTGTTCTTGCTATTTATTACATTGGGTGTCTCTCACTTTCCTGGGTTGGTTGCTTGCAAATTCTGTCTTGAATGCAAACTCTTCTTCACCTTTTAAGTGCAGATTCTTGCATAATATTTTAGTCTGGGGTATGTAGAAGCTGCATGACTGGCTGGTCATAGTACAGAACTGTAGAGTCTCAACTTCCCTATTATCATACAAAATTGATGCACATTTAATTCAGAACAGTTTAGTTAAGTGTTAAGATTACCTGTGCTGTGTTTGGCAGCATCATTTTCCCATCCTTTATTTGAACAAGTGGAGGATAGTTTAAAAAAAGAAAGATGAACATATTCCATGTAACTTTATTGGAAGAAAAAAAAGAGGATTTTATCCCATTTTTAACTTCATATATGTTAAATACATGGACTTTCATTTAAGTAAGTCTTTAATATTGCCTCTTCCTCTCTCCTCCTGCTTAAAAACAAGCCCAGTGTTAGGGTTGGCTCTGCCTTCTGAAACTGAGAAGCCCTGTTACCAGTCTGAAATTATGTGAAAAATAAAACTTAGTGCTAAAAAAAGCTATACTAGTATCCAAAAGCATCCAGTTTTAGTTTTATTGTATGTCAGATAGGATAGCATTTGAGTGTAAGTCAACTGTACTTATTATTCTTCTGTCTTGAGCTGAGGCTCAAGTATTTGTGTTTCCTGGCTTATCACAAAAGAATTAAAATTGCTAGACTGCTTGTGTAAGCATCTGCTTCAGTGGTGTTAATTCAGCCCAGCTGGGCAGAATTACAGATGCTAGGTTTGTGAAGGAAAAAGACTAAAATGAAGGAAACCCAAGTCCTGTACAGTCTTCCCTTCATCTGTGTGTCAGATATCTTAGCCTGTCTATAAGGATTAATTATATACTTCCCCCTGTTCTTCCTAATCCATTTATGTCTCTGGACAGAGTGCAGTGCCAGTTCTGTTCTTTTCCTAATGTTGAACACTCTGACTTCATAGCTTAATCTTGACTGTTGTATAGTTAATACAGTAGATTGTTCCTGATACAGCAACTGTAACTCCTCAAGATACATATTGGTAGATTAGCCTTCATGCTTAGATTGTGACTTTTTGAGTTGGAGATAAACTGGGATTGCCAATAATAATAATTCGGTGAAGATGATATTGCACTGTAACGATTGGTTATTAAGAAGATGTAAAGTGGGTTGGTTTTTTTTTGGTCTCTGTGTGCTATGCTAGGTCATAATACCTAAAATTTCATTATTTCAGTATTGGATGCAACTACAAATACAGACCAACTAATGAGGAAGATAATGTTTAAAAAATACACATGAGGTTTGAAGAACTTCTCTGTGTGTTTATTTGGGGGGATTTTTTTGGGAGGAAAGTGTAATTTAAGTGATGTATTTTGCCTTTTAAAAAAAGGGGCATCTCTTCTAGTCCAAGCAACTGATTGAACCAAAGCACCAAAATGCTCGTTAGCTATTTCACATGCCTCTTACTGGAAACTAAATGCTATTTGACTGTCTTAATTACTTAAGATTACTTTGTTGTATCTTCCAAAGAAACTTCCATTTTTTCCAGTGACTTTATGAACACAGTACAGTTACATTGAGTGCATGTTTTTATCTGCCTGTAGAAGGTAACTAGCTATAATGTATTGACATGCTAAAGGCAAGATGCTTTTTTTCAAACGTGTTAGAGGCAGAAGAGTGCAAGTACATCTATAGTGCTGATGGATGATCAAGATGTAAAAGATATGTTCAAAGATGATAAAGCCATAGGAGAAGGTTAACAAATTCTTAGTATTCCTGTTTTATTTTTGGCAGAGCTGAAGGAGTTATGTACACCAGAACCTCTTTTCACTTAAGCTGTATCTCACATGCAAGTTTTGTTAGAAGAGAGTTTGAAACAAGTGAACAGTAATAAATTGCCAAAATAAGGGGGTGTTCTGCATTAAGCTCTATGAGAGGTTGAATGTAGACACTACTGAATTCCCAATTACTTCAAAATTTCAACAGGTGTAAAAAAGTATCAGTGTTAAAGCAAAATAGTTTTCAGACAGCATATACCTTACATGGTAGAATTCCATTGCTACCACCTTGTTTTACATGACAAAAATTTGTTTTAATGTACTCATTGTTCCTTGAGAGAGTGCATGTCCTTGAAAAAGTGTCTTAATGTTCACTGTTGACTTTTTGTATAAACAGTCTGTAAGTGACTTTGACACTCTTTGGTTGTAGGTCACAATGGAGAAGTAGATTTGAGGACACATAATGATGGTTGTTTTCTTGAAGCCACAAAATCACAGTAAATGAACTTTTAAATGCTGAAATGCATATAGAAAAGTGTTGCTGAGATCCAAAAATTAACACAACAAACAGTAATTATTAGTCTTCTGCTCTTCAGTTGTCTGATCAACTGTTGTTTAAAAACAGTTTTCAAAAAAGCTTTTAAATATATTTCCTGATAGCCTAATCATGAGTTTTATGAATAATTTATTTTTCCGCTTTTATTTTGGAAGGCCACATCTGTCCCAAATTTTTCCTACATGGGAGCTCGGCTGTGTAACTACCTATCTCACCATCTAACCATTAGTCCACAAAGTGGGAACTTCCGACAGTTGTTACTTCAAAGGTCAGTATCAGCATGTCATTTTAAGCCCATTACTTTCTCAGATTATGTGTCTTTCTATTTGGTGTGTAACTGTTAATGTCATCAACAAAGAGGTATATATTTAAAACAGAAGTTTAGATTGAAGATTAGCAAAGCACAGTACATACTGGATATCGAATACATATATTTTTGAATATTTGAATATTTTTAAATATGAAAATAGGACTCCATTTCGAGTTCTGTAGGCTTTTTTGAACTGAGTAGCTTAGACTGATCTCAAATTACAGGGTAAATTTGAAAGCTAGTCAATTTTAAAAGTATACTAAATGCATATGTATGTATTGTCCTTATCCTTAGAATCTTGCCAGGACTTACTTCATTGTGGTTTTTTTCTTTAATTACTTTTCCAGCTGGAGTTGTTGTATAAGGTTTACTCATTGATCAGCCAAGTGACTTCCCATCTATGAAGTAGATGCATAAAATCAATAAGGATACATTTCTTCAATTTACTTCTTGGTTGCTACAAAGTTCTGAGGGCTTACACTTTAATAATCATTAGACTTTGTAGTTGACAAAAATGCAACATTTTTTTTAATTTATGTATTTTCTTTTAAATCTTTCCACATGACATTTGAAGGAGTGGTACACTTTAAGAATTCTTTAGAAAATAGCCTTTTTTTCTATAAGGACTTCTGGCTTTCTAAGCTTCAGGCTTGCTTCTTCTTTTAAAAGTGTCACTTAGTCCACCTACATTTAGGAGCAAACACATGACAAACCTTAACAGCAATGGTTTCTGATGATCTTTCATCAGGAGTGGTACCTTATGGAGAAGCTGAAAATACTTTTTTTTTTTCCCATGTCCCATAGCAGATGAGCCTTTTTGCCTTAAAAATGATCGCTTATCTTCTGGGTTTTTAACTATGTATGTTACTTGAACATGAAGGAAATCCCTGTTAATGTTGGATTATCTGGTTGCTGGTTTTTAAAGCCAACCCTACAGATAACACTCATTTTAGCACCCTGAAGCCATGAACTTAAAGTTGCTTATGTTTTTATTGCTAATATGGACGGAGTGGGGGGGAAGGAGCATAAACAACCTAACAATATGACCACTGAATAAGCGTAAAGGCATCTAAGACAATGTGGGCAGCACCCTGAAAGGGGGAAAATGTCTTTCAGAGTATATTTACTTTATTTCTGTGAACATTTGGCTGCCTGTGTTGAACTTCTTGGATCCATATTCTAATATATAAACTGTGCAATTGTCTTCTAATTCTTACTTCTTGTTATTTGCTCTATTTTGTTGTGCTGTCTCAGTTATCTCAGTGCTTGAAAACATAATCATGTAATCATACATACTCATTGAAAAGTACACAAATCCACAATGTGTTTGTGAAGTCCTTTCGTTTCCTTCCCAGCATTCAGCATTTAACAGTTTAATGCAGTTTATAAATTCTTATCATTCTGTTAAATTAGTATGTTATACATGTTGGAATGTCTACAAATGATACGATTTTGTTCTAATGTTCACAGGTGTCGAACTGAGTATGAAAACAGAGATGAAGCTACTAAAGGAGATGAGACTACTCAAAAACAATTTCATGCCTTTGTGCTGTTCTTAGCTGAACTTTACCTTAACCTAGAGGTAAGAAGAAAGTTGCACGTCAGGTGGTTCTTCATGAATGTTTTTGTTGGAATGAAGCTTTTGGTATTTTCTTTTGACTGGCAAAACCCCCAGATGACTACACCTAACCAATGCAGGAAACGTTACAACTTAGGAGAAACAGATCAGGATCAAAATCCGTATCATTCAGTATTCAGCCACTAATAGGAGCTGTTATCAGACCCTTGGGGATGATGTAGAAGTCCTCAAAATGAACAATTAAAAATGCAGACCTTTAAAGATATTTCTTCTGAAGGTTGAGTGCTTGGCTTATGCATGAAGCATGAAATCTTTTATTTAGATTGGGGTTTTGTATGTGATAAAAAAAAAGTATGTACATGTAACACTTCTTTGACTTTTACGCCTGTGAGTTCAGTAAGTTCACTAACTGCTGTAGTGTACTTAAAATATATATTTTTGACTAGATTATTTCAATGGTTTGATTTAAGTAGACACTATAAAAATGTTCTGCTGGCATGAGAAAAGAAAACTTTTCTGACTCTTCCATTTCTGTTCATAAGTGGGCCTTGAAATCTCCTTTTCACTTGCTAGAAGTAAAAAGGAAGATTTGCAAAGGGTATGGACAGGGGGAGTAGTCCAGTTCTGTGGAGTATACCATTTATTTTTAAACCATTTTCTATAATTTTTTAAATGCATAAAGAATGCCTTCTAGAAGTAAGCCACTACAGCTGTAGAGAATACATAACGTAGTCTGGGAAAGAGCGTGTGGTTCTGGGAGTTTGGGATTTTGTGGACCATTTAGCAAGCATGTGGTAGCTTTTCTTAGCAATTTATTAGCAAAGAAACAAAATGCTAGAAATACATTGTTACATTTATGTCAGAATTGTAAGTATATTACTCAAAGTCTGTGTTCTCAATTAGTTACAGTATTTGGCATGTTCTTCCAACTAAAGAGCTCAACTATGTTGATCACAAACCAAATCATAGAGTATTCAAGAGAGAAAATGTGACTAAATTAATTTCTAAGACTTAAGTCTTTTAAATACTTTTTTTTATGTGTATTCTACAGATTAAAGGAATAAAGGGACAGGTAATGCGAGCTGAAATTCTTCAGGAAGGCCTTCGGGAATTACTAAATGCACTTTTCTCTAATCCTGTGGACAGTAATCTGATATGTGCTGTGAAACTGCTGAAGGTGAGACAGTAGTTTTAAAAGAAAGAAAAAAAAAGTTTTTTAAACCTTCCTACCTTGGGAATCAGCAGGGGAAACTGCAAATGAGGAAGTGTTTATAGAGTTTTATGCATTACATCATTAGCAGAGCAAGTTGTGCGTTTGTTGGGTTATTTTCCCCTTGGTACCATTATGAAATTGAGCCAACAAAAAAGTAACATACTGCTTTAAAAGTAAAATGCGACACCATTTGTGTACATGTAAGACCAATAGAACTGGAGCTGAGCTGCAAAAGAGTAAGTAAAGGTCTCCCTTTGCTGCTTCTTGTCTGGGAGAAAACTATAACCAACTTGAATGATTTGTTGGGTTTTGGATATGTTCTCTGTTCTGAAGGACACTCAGCAGTTAGTGCCACTTTTTGCTGCCAAAGGTTCTTGATATCAGGTATTTCAGACTGTATTGTCTGCATCATTGCTACTGTAGAAATGCATACCTTTCTCTTTCATGATGAAAACAAACCTCTTTGCTCTTAAGTTTTACTTTTCCTTTAAAAAAATTGTTAGCCTCTATGCAGGGAGAAACTTTTATCTTCACTAGGTATGATTATAGTTTGGAAAACACAGTTTATTTTAGGAATGAAGGTTAAAAAGCTAAAACAGTATTTTTGGGGAGTTTTGTTTCTGGTTTTTGTGTTGGTTGGTTGGTTGGTTTGTTTTCTGTCATTCTTTCCCTTTCCTCCCACTGCACTATTTTTCAGACTCTTCTATCCTGAATTCCACTTCTGGCAGCTTCTTTTGATAGAGTACATAGGGTATAGGGAAGAGAGGTTTTACACCTTCCAATTTAAACCCTTCATTTGAAGTTTGAATGTTTAAGCAGGTTGCTTCATAGCAAGTGTGAGGTTGTGTTCAACAAGTATATTCACTCCTGTGGTCAGTCCTTATGTTGGCAGTACTTCCCTGACGCAACACCCACTGAAAGACCTTTTAAAAAGGCAGTACAAAAATCAGGAAGCTTTCTAGTGCTGCTGTTTTTTATAATTGTTCTGCAAAGAATATGAATGTCTCAATATTTCTGTGGATATTCTTGGAATATTTATTTGGCTTCACAGCATCCATTCTAAAATAAAACAATGATCTAAATTTTATGACATGTAAATCTAAAAGGTGTTACAGAACAGAGATTTTTTTGGAATGCAAGTATTTTCTGATGTCTTACAGTACGTACAAATGTTGGACTATATCTGTAACTAGATTGGGCTGCCTCATGAACCTTTAGTTTCATTGCGGAAGCAATAAACGTTCCCTGTTGTCTTTTCCATTTAATATAGTGATAGAGGTTTTTCACCTGTTTGCTTTGCAGTATATTTATTTTTAATTAAACCTTCTTGGTGCTATTACCTAATTATGTAGTATCACAGAGAAAATTGGGAATACCAAAAAAGTGCTAAGATGCCTGCTTTTGTCTTTGCATTTTATTCCTTTGTATCATCAGTTGCCATTCCAAGCATTTTGGATCATGTAATATTTATGCTGAGTAGATCAGAAATTGCTATTAACTTTGATCATAATGGCAAACTAATTTTTTTCTGATTTAACTCCTACTGTGCAGGAATTCCCTTGTTGGGAAGTGAAGTACCTATTCTTAACATAAAAGGCTTTCACACACAGCAGTTCCAGACTGTCTACTGCTAAAGCTCTCTCAGCAGCAGCTTCAGCCTCACAGATTTTATGTATTGAAATTCAGGCTGGCTTGGTCAGATAATTCCTGGCTCCTCATATATATACCCAGATGAAATTCTCTGGCATGCCTGATGCTAGCTAAGTTGACTGAAGTGTTTCTAAAGTTTATTAAACTACTTGTTATTATCAGGTAAGCTGGTGGCATCATCTGTAAAAATGTCTCCTTTTTTATAGCATGTACTAAAATCAAGTAGGAACTGACAAATGTCACTGAAGAGTTGTTTCAAAATTGTATTTCAAGCCTGAAAGGAGAGAAATGGCTGTGAACTTCTAGGTAACATAAACATTGGACAGAGAGCTACCATACTGTCTGTAGTCTAAAATAAACTATTTACAAGGTCTGTTAATCTATTTAGCAAAGAGATGTAGGCAATTGGGAGCATCAGCCTTCAGGTAGGCACACAATGCATCTAAATGTTATGAATTGTCACAGAATCTCTCAGAATCTCTTCTGTTGACAGTTTATTAAAGTTTTGTAATTTTCTTTAAAAAACAAAACAAAAAACTCAAATAAAACCTAATCCCTTGTCTTTAGTTGACAGGCTCAGTTTTAGAAGATGCCTGGAAAGAAAAAGGAAAGAATGATATGGAGGAAATGATTCAGAGAATTGAAAATGTTGTGTTGGATGCAAACTGTAGCAGGTGAGATGATGTGCAGTATTTTGGTTTTATATTAAGACAGAGCACCTTAAAAATCTTCAAGAATAACTAACATGTCCAAAACATTATTTTAAGAACTTTTTAATAAAAGTAAGATGATATTTAGGTCACTTCTTAAGTAAAAACCAAACAAACAGAAAAGAGTATTTTTTGGTTGAGAGGGTTTGGAGTTTTTTGGTTGGTTGTTTTGTTGGTGGGGTTTGTTTTGTTTTGTTTTTTTCATTTTTGTATTTTATCTTTCAATAGAGATGCATGTTCCACTCTAATGATTTTTGCGGTGGTTTTTAATCTTTTAGGTCTTGAAATCTTCCATAAGTGCTTTAGGCTCTAAGAGCAAGTATATATACCAAGAGACAATAGGGGTGATACCTCATAGTTTATACATTTAAATCTGGATTTAACAGTATTAAATATATACAAACAGTATTAAATATGTAACACTAGTAAATATATACAAATCACTATAAATGTAAAGGCAAAATGGAATATGTTTTGTGGTTGTTTCATGGGGGTTTTTTTGTTTGTTTTGTTTTCTGGAGAGCATACCTTTTTTGGCAGGGTCTTACTACAGTCTGGAAAAAAATGAGTGGTTAGCTAATACATTGTGCTTCTCAGTTTGCAATCAACTGCATGCATGAGGTTATCTGAGTCTGCTGTACATCATCCTCAGCTTCTTGCAACCTTGCTAAAAACCTATAGAGGGTTCAGCCAGTGTGACCTACTCTATTGCCATATAGAGGAAGGCCAACACGTAGCTCACAGCATCGGTGGGTTGTAATTGAGCTGCCCACGGGGAGCACAAGGAAAACTTTTTTTCAGGAACCAGAGAAAATTGATAGCACAAACCAAGGCTTCAAAGACACAGGACAAACTTACTTGAATAGAGAAGAAACTGAAGATCTGATTATTTATTCCTTAATGAGACTCTCCTCTGTGGACTTGCTTAAAAGAAGAAAGCAGTTTCTCTATTTTTAGGGATGAAATGGATGGTGGTAGCTAATGTATTGGAGACATTACTTTCCACTGTTGACTGCAAAATTTCAGCTTGATCAAGAGGGCTAAAGTTACGAGTATAAATTAGATGATAAATACGATTTGAAGATCACCCCTGTTATTCCCAGTACTATCCTTTTATCAGAAAACAATTTGCTCAATTTGTGCTGCACATTTAGTATCTTGATAAAAACTACAGCAGTTGCACACCACAGAGGAAGTGGAGAGGGTGAGTATCTTAAAATTGATACATAAAGCATCTAGACTTGCAGAGAAGAAAAATTAATTCAAAATTATCTGCAGACTGGACTCAATTTTGTCTTTTTTAGGGCTTCCTGGGGGCAATTTAACTGTCTAGTATTTGCAAGATAAGCCCAATTCCTTGCTTAGTACAAAACTTTTAACTTTTGTAATGCTTCTGTGTATTTCAGAGATGTGAAACATATGCTTCTGAAACTAGTAGAACTGCGATCAAGTAACTGGGGTAGAGTTCATGGAACCTCTTCACATACAGAGGCTACACCTGAAAATGACCCAAACTATTTTATGGTAATGTACAGACACTTCGGTCTCTTAATTTAATGTGAATTTGATGCATATACAATCACATTGCTGAAAACTACCAACAGCTGTCTCTCTGAATGTATATAACTTTCTGTGTAACTTTATTCCTAGAATGAGCCAACATTTTACACTTCTGATGGTGTTCCTTTCACTGCAGCAGATCCAGGTATGTCACCAGCTTAGTATATCTGTCTTCTCAATGTTCTTTAAAAAGTTGTAAAAATTGTTCTTCAAAGGTCTGAAACTCTTACAACTTAAAAGACAAAATTACATCTGACTTCCTGGCTTTGTGTAACACATGCCTTACTCTACATTAAAAGAAGGTAAATGTTTGAAATGGAGAACATGTGTTTGAGTTCATATAGTTCAGAAGAATTTGTGCCATAGTCCTCAGCACTTGGTCTCTCCAGGAAGCCAGAAATCTTCAAGTCGTATTTTGTTTGTCCATTGTTAGTAGCAAAAGGATTTGTTTCTTCCTTGGTTTCTTTTCTTTTTTCTTTTTTTTTTCTTTTTTTTTCTTTTCTTTTTTTTCCCCTGTAATCTGAGCACAACATGGCATGACATCATTTGAGGTAAAGACATCTGTGACTACCTTTACAGATCTCTGGGAAGATAGGTATCATTCTTAGAGGTCAGTTGATGTCCAGAGAATACACTGTATCAGGACTTTTTTCTATAGTATGTTTCATGCCATTTATGGTTTCATTAAATAGGCTATTTTCAAACTGTATAGATGTATGTTAATTTAGAGGACTAGTCTTTTATAAAACTCAGTCTCATTTTTACTTTGCCAGATTACCAAGAAAAATACCAAGAGCTGCTTGAAAGAGAGGATTTTTTTCCGGATTATGAAGAAAATGACACAGATCTATCAGGACCTGGAGATCAGTATGTTTTCTGTTTGAGTGATAGGGTTTTTTTAATACTGGTTATTTTTATTGCAGACTTAGGAATCCAATCTTGACAAAAATTAAACTAAATAATATAAGTATTATTTAGCTCTACAATGGAAGTTATGTATTTGTTTGGGTATAAGTTGGTTTGTAATCACACAAGTTTGAAACAAATTTTGTATTGATCTAACTGAGTAAGGTAATTAAATTTCAGATATTTATGCACACATACAAACATACTCTCTTCTGCATTTTAAAAAAAAATTCATTTGCAAGCAAAATGAAGCACCAGACCTTCAGGTGTTTCTAGTGAGGCAACCTGAATTCATTTGACTGATGCGCATACACATCCGAGCTAGAGATGATAACAAAATTTTCTGAGTCCTTCAAAGGGAGGAGGTTGTTAAATTTCTCTTCTCAGGATAAGTAGTATTCCCTCAATTAAATGGATATTCAGTATTCCTATAGAACAAGAAAAGCAGCCTAATGGCAAAGGGGGAGGCAATAGGGTGGGAATGCAGTTTGACTTTCTGACATCAGTTTATAAGAATTTAATAAGGAGTAAAAGAAGTATGATCTAAAATAAATTGCTCTGAGCTTTGTACTCACCTGGTTGAAGGGAGACTTCATATCATGATTTGGTACCTAAGAACACATTCAGTGGTCTGTTTGTGTGATAAGCATGCTGGCCTGGACCGGTATTTTTGTTAGTGAATTAGAAGACTGAGGGGAGTGGGAAGAAGTATGGAAGATAAACTAGAAATGTCATCAGAAACCAACACGAGCTCATACTAAGGGGAAGAAAGACCCATGTGAACCTCTGTGCTTAGAAGAACAAATTAAATGCAAAATGGAAAGAGCAGTTAAAAAACACAGCAAATCCAAAGAGTGAAATGTGGAAGACTGAATCAACCTTCATGCAAGGTGACTGTGGAACATTCTGTGTTGAAGGTTTAAGTAAAGCTTAGACAAATGTATGCTGATCCTCTGTCAGCTATTTCTCATGATTGACATCAGGGAGAAGGGTTCTGTGTCGCATCCCTTCTCAAGACTACACTTCTACAAGAAAGAAGGAATGAATAAAATAAATACATAGACCTAGAGAAAAAAAGGAACACTCAAGTTAGTTCCCAATAACTGCGGGGATAAAGAACACTGAAGTGATGCCCATCACTTCCCAGCTTTATTTTGAAACTCTGTGCTAGTCTCCACTCTGTAATACTTATTTTCTGTGACCTAAATAAGACAGATCTTTTCCAAAAGACTGGTTACTGTATAATAGAAGGCCATATAATGCATATGCAATAGGAAGGCAATTAAGGTTGTCTTCCTTCATATATCAACAAAGAGGAATGCAGGTTTTCTATATAAATATATTCTTTGACTAGTGTGCAACCAAGACAGTTGACACAGTATTTGAACTAGGATGTTGACCAACCAAAAGTGTTAAAATGATGTTAGTTATGTTTTTTCCAAATACATCAGTATGGATGCATTATTAAATTTTGGGAAGCTTGGATTGGGTTATTGTATTTTCTGTCATCTCTGGAAATATTTCTGTTTTTTAAACTGTGGACAGCATAAGATGATCTAAAATGGTGACAAACACTAGCTATTTGTATTTGTCTATGCTGCTTTGAGGTTTCTGTTTGTTTGTTTTCCTAGTACACGACTTTTTTTTCCTCTTCATGCCCTTTAAGAAAATGTCATCAGTAACTGCTGTTCATAAAGCTCTGTTTTATTCTTGATGTCTACATAAATGTTTCTGAAAATCTGTACGTAAATTTAATATCTTTGGTGACTATTTTTTTTTTAGGTATTTTGATGACATTGATGACGAGATGGATCCAGAAATTGAAGAAGCATTTGAAAAATTCTGTCTAGAATCAGAAGATAAGAGAAAACAGTGAGATGTTACATATTAATGTTAGTTTATTAAGCCACTTTAGGTATGGTTAGAGTACAGGGGGATATAAAACATTTGTACCAAAATAAGAAACTTGAGTTTCTCCAAGTATAAAGTTACACAATTTCCATTTTGTTTAAGAGAATCTGCCAAAAATTGTAAACTTACGACCTGTAACTTAAAATGTTGTGTATATATCATAGTTTATTTTATGTACAGGTATCTGAACAATGTTTTGGCTGCAATAAAAAATGATTTAAAATTATAATTGAAATTAAAATGTAATGGTGAGCTGTCCCATAAAATTTGCATTGAAAGGGGAAGAACAAATTGATCTAAATTTAATTGCTTGCTTGCTTGTTTTAGTACATATTGGGATTTACTCATCCTTTTTACCATATACAAGACATCTGGTGTTTTTTGGGTTGGTTTTGTTTTTGTTTTTTTTTTTTTTGCTAAGGAGACTATAATCCAAATGCAGACTTTTCCCCCTCCCCCATAGATCACAGTCATGAGAAGTGGTTTGTGAAGATTTCGTGTGGGGTTTTTTTGTTTATTTCATTTTTCTTCCTCTTTCAAAACTCATATGGGTGAGATCCGGACTTTTTTTCTGGAATAAACATGTCATATGTTGATATGTGAAAAAGCAAGCAGTATTTGGAAGTCGGGTGCTTTCAAGGTCTTTGGTTCAGATAAGCTTATTTTCAACAAGCAAAAACTATCTTTTAATTTGTTGTGTTCTTCAAGGCTTTATGAATATAGTTACGTTGTAACCCATGCTTCTCAAGACTATGTGCAGTGCTTGATTTTTTTTTTAAATGTATCTAATGTCTAATCTTCTGGCAACCCTTGTAACTTTGTCCATTCTTCTAATTTTATGTAGTTTAATTTCGCAGTTGGAGTAAATTCATGTATTTCATAAATGCTAATATTCTGAATCCAGCTACTCTTTTTTTGACTCCATATAATCATGTTAGTTTTCCTAGGATACTTCATTGTTGTTGTAGCCAAATTCAGTTGTACTGTTTCCGGTTATTGGTTAGACTGAGTAGAACCCCTTACCAGAACCAAACAGAACTATTTCCCAAAAGTTAGCTACTGTAAAGAACATGTTGTAAATATGCATGTAAATAATTCTGTTAATATTTCACTGTTTTTGTTTGGTTAAATAACTTTTGGCATCTGCCAAAACAGAGTGAGCACTGACTGTTTGCTGGGTGTTTATTTAACATAGTTATTTAGGTTGGCATTTTGGAAAATAAAACTTAACTAGTTTTGTTTCCTTTGGTATAATTTCACCACCTTGTCCTTTTGCTTTAAAAAAATACTTTTTGGTCCCTCTTCTATCTCTCCTTCACCTAACACTCCTTTTTTTTTCCTTTACACAGTTGCAGAAAGTATTATCTTTTAATACTCATTGGAAAAATAACATTTATCAAAGGGCAATATGATCATAAGAACTATACTAGCATTTCAAAGTGTTTAGACTGAAATCCAGAAACTAGACAAGAGAAAATTAGATTAGATTATTTTCACACACACATTCTCTAACATTGAGCATATTTTTCATACAAAACTTTTAGTCCAAATACAGGTCAGCCTTCCTGCC